ATTTGCCAGTGGTTTGAGTCCCCTTTTTTTCACAATGGAGTAGTTTGATTTTATAGCTCAAAAAACCCAAACAACCCCAAAACACTCCAATTTCTTCTTTGATTGCATTTCTATCTGCCATCAGCGAGTTGTGTTGTTGATCTTATCACTGAGCCCATTTGAGATTAGTCTGTTTTGTATGATTCCTGCGTACAAAAATCCTCTATAAATCAGAGAGCCTTTTATGCAAAAGTCTGCAAGACTGATAGCGCTGGATACAAAATCTTTTACCCCGGAAAAAGAGATGTATTGTCTGTCCCATTGGACATAATGCTTTCTCTGCATATTCATCTCCAAAGTATGATGGGGCTTTTTCTCGAGAAGACAGGAGACAAGATAGCAGTCTTAAATACAAACAGATTACTATCAGAAGAAAGGGAGTAAATTTTTTTTGCTGTGTCTAGCAGGGATAAGATGAGAAGCAAAGGATTTAAAAGACAAAAAGGGAGATTAAGGCTAGTCATTAAGGATTTTTTTGTACCTGTAAGCCCTGGAAGAGATTGCCTAGGTAGCCTGAGAAATCCCCATCACCGTAGGTTCTTGAAGAACGGGGCAAGACCGTCAGGAGAAGTGATGTCTCAAGTCCTTTTCAGCCCTGCTTTCCCTGTTAGATTAATTCTCCGTACACCTGCAGAGCCCTCTTCCCACTCTGAAGGCAGCCACAGGGGAGCTCCTCTGATGCGAGGAGTTTGCTACTGTTAGTGCTCAGAGACTCAGAACAGACGTGTTGGGTTACTGGCAAGGAGCTTGTCATCTCTGACTAATGCCTAATTGGAAGGGATGAAAAAGCCACTTGGAACTGGTGGTCGGCAGGAAGATCTAGGACGAGATTTTGTGACAAATACGAGGGAGGAGTGCTAAGGATGGGGTCAGGGTGCGGAGAAAAAGAAGCGCAAAGTTTGAGTCAAAACACACCCATAAAGCGCAAGGAAAGAAACAGAATCAGCTGCTGGAAAATTATCCTTTTGGGAAAAAAAAAAAGCTCTCTCCTTTATGTGATCCTTGCCAGGAATAAATTCTGTCAGTTTGCAAATGCAGAGAAGTATGTGAGTTTGGGATATTTCAGCTCAAATGGTGATGGCCAAGAGACACTAGGGAAAAAATGAGATGCTGGAAAAAATCTAATAAGGAAATAGAGAAGAACAGATTGGAAAAGTTCAGAATAATCAACACATGTTCACAGAATAAATGACTCTTAAAAAAAGTAGAGGAAGAAAAAAGATATAAATGCATGTAATGAGAAATATAGTCAGATTTATCTGTATCAACCGATCAAGAAACTGATAAAAACTGGCTGCTTAACAAAAACAATATTCAAATTTCTGCAGGGCAGAAATGTCTTCACAAATAATCTGGAACAAAAAGATAAGGCAGGATATTATTTCAGAAAGTTGGTATAAGAGAAATATAATTTATCACCCAGCACCACAATTTACCACATGGATTGTTCAAACATAACCACTAATCTATATCTGAAGAGAGTACTAATATTTCAAGCCACTAAGCACCTTTCAAAGAATCTTTATGTACCTGTATATTTAGTTCAGCACTAAGGAATAGTTTATATATATAGATAACGCACTTGATACAGATATTACTATGCCTTAATTTCTAGCTGTAGCTACAGACCAACAAAATAGGCTCAAAATGCAGAGAAGGAAGCATTAGGCACAAAGAGGCAGAGGGACGATGGCCAACAACAGTCCTCCTGTGCACAGCCCACCCCTGGCAACCAGCTACAGCACGGGGGCTCTCCTGGGAGCTGGAGGTTGAAGGGTGCCGTGGGGTCAGCTGCAGTGGCACATTCCTGGCCTTGCTGGGGTGTGGAGCCACCAGCCCTCCCTCCCTCCTCTGCTACGGCCTCCCCGGCTCACCAGGCTCTGGCCAAGGAGAGGCCACAGCCACAGCCGCAGCCTGCCCTGGGGCACCTCACCCCTCTCTGCGCCCCTCTCTCCTCTGCCCACCCCTCCATCCTTCCCCCGGTCCCCTCCGTCCTTCGCCCGGTGCCCCCGTTCCTCTCCCCCGGTCCCCTCCAGCTCTCCCCGCTCCGCTCCCCGCCGCTGTCCGTGGTGCTGACGGTGCCGCCGCCGCTCCCGGGGGCTCTGCCCGCCGCTCCCGGGGGCTCTGCCCGCCGCTCAAGCCGGCGAGGCCTGACGGTCCCCGAGCCCCTCTGCGTGCAGCCCACAGCAGGCCGAGTTCACGGGGGGCGGCAGAGCTTGTCCCGGTCCCAGAGGCGGCGGGGAGGGCGGCCGAGGCCCGGAGTGTGGCCGCCGCCACCCCCGAGCACTGGCGGGGACCGAGGGCCGGACGCGGCCGGGGACCCGTGAGGGACCCTCGAGCGCAGCCCCCGCGAAACCGAGCCCATGGGTGGGAGGGTCCCCGGTCGCTCCCCGGGGCTCCGCGGAGAGAGACGGAGCCCCCGCAGCCGCCGCTGCCCTCGGCCGGGGTCAGGCCAAAGGGAGCGGGCCCGGCAGAGCCCCCCCGGCCCCGAACGGCGCCGCGACCCCAGGGACGAGCAGGCGGCGGGGTCAGCGCGCCCGTCCTGTGCCAATGAATCATCGATGGCGTTTGGCTCCAAACCCGTTTGATCATCAATAAGGTGATTCAGCAATCGGGCAATGTAAACAAGCGGCGCGGGCGCTTCGCCCATCGCCCCGGGGAACAGAAGGAAGCACCCGCGGGCCGAGGGCTGGCCCTGCCCGGGGCCACCGGGGCGAGCTCCCGCCGCCGCTGCTCGGGGGACCGGGACACCCGCACGGCCCCCACCCGCTCCCGAGCATCCCGGGGGCGGCACCGGCATCCCCGGCCCGCTCCAGCCCGGGGTATTTCAATAACTGCAGGGGAGGACGGCCCAGAGGTGTTCTCCTCTCCTTCTTCCCGTGCTTACCGAGCCGTTCGGCCGTAGAGGCCCGGTTCGTTGCCGTGCGGGCAGCCGGGGCGTGAGGAGGCGGCTCCGTGTTCGCTGAACCCGAGCCGCGGCTTCCCCGGGACTTTCCCGCGGGCGGGGAGCGGGGGGAAGGCGGCGGGAGAGGGGCCGCCAGCCCCTTTTCGGGGAGAAGGTGCCGGGGGCGATGGCGGGGAAAGCCGGGGAGCGGCGGGGTTTCTCGCCTTCCCTTTTGCGGGAGCCGCGTTTGTGCGAAGCCCGGGGCAGGTCCCCAAAAGCCCGGTCCCTGCTCCAGCTGCCCCCGGGGGGCAACCCGGTGTCCCCGGGAGGACACTCACACGGGCACGCCAAAAACGATGTTTTGTTTTGTATTTTTTAACTCCCAAAACACGCACCGACCCGACTATTCGCATGGGGAACTGCCCGCACCTCTGCCCGCACTGCCCCGAGCACCGCAACGCCTGAGCACCCCCCGCCGGCTGCGGAGCCTCTTAACGACCCCCAGGAAGAGAGAATAAGCACAGAAATAATAAGAATGGAAAAGAAAAGAGAAAAGAAAAGAGAAAAGAAAAGAGAAAAGAAAAGAGAAAAGAAAAGAGAAAAGAAAAGAGAAAAGAAAAGAGAAAAGAAAAGAGAAAAGAAAAGAGAAAAGAAAAGAGAAAAGACTATCTATTTTATAATATATAGAAATACTAAGCACACCCGACTGCTACAGCTCCTACTGTAGGGGGAAAGGGGGGGGATTTCCCTCAAAGGACAGCAGATTTTCATCCCGTTCGGGAAAAAAAAACTTCCAGGAGGCACCAGGCGAACCGGCGGGTTTTAAGGAATCTGAAATCCTTTCGGCTTATTGCCCTTTGCTCGGAGGGGTGTCAAAGTTGGGGGAGCGGGAAATGGAAGGACCGAGGCACTGAAGCTGCGTGTTCACAGGTGGTAATAGTAATAATGATAATAATAATAATAATAATAATAATAATAATAATAATGAAGAATCGATTTCCTGAAGGGAATAGTAATTTGCAAAGGTCTTTCCCGCTCTGGCTCCCACTCCACGGGGAACCCCTGCCCACTCAGCCACCCAGTTCTCTCCAAACTTTAAGGGCAGAAAATCAGAAATCGCATCTACGGACGGCATCTGTCGCCCGGGGGGGGGGTCCGTAGATGCGATTTCTGATTTTCTGCCCTATATGTAGGGTTCCACGGGGAAACCCCCACCCGGGACCGGTGCTGGGAAGGAAAAGCACCGGCAGCATTACTGGAAAAGAGCCGGCTCAGGTTCCAGATCAATGAAAAACCGGGTCCAAGGCGTTCAGGCTCCCCCTTCGCCAGCATTAATGCTCTTTTAATCTTCCCCGCCTTATCCGCATCGATTTTCCCCGTCCCCCCCGTACGCGTTTGTTTGGGGCGGCGACACCACCGCGTGCTCCGGCGATAATAATAATAATAATTAAAAAAACCAACCCCCAAACCCAACCAAAACCAACAACCCCCCCCAACCCCAAACACCTCTGATGCTGACGTTGCAGA